TATATATATATATATATATATATATATATATATATATTATTATTATTTTTGATAAATTTTAATCAATGAATAGTAATGTATTACAAGTATTTTTATGAGATTAAGTATGTTGAAAATTACATTTTAAGGGCTTTTTTAAAAGAAAATAGAAGTTATAAAGTATTAATGTATACTAATTTTTCTTACACTTTGTTTGATAGGGGTGAACATAGTTTAGTTTTTTTTAAAAAAAAGTCACATTGCATCATTTTATCAAATTGAATCAATTTATGAATCATTTAAATCATAATAATAAATTGTTTTAGAACCAAACCATTTTTATAAATAGGTTTAAAACTAATTTAGAGCTAATTTCAAAACCAAATTAATTTTAAACTAGTTTTAAGAACTTAACCAATTTTCTTTAAAAAAAATAGTTTTTTTTTCTTTAAAATTGTGAACAAAGTTATTATTAACACATTCTTTATTAGTTAGACATTTAACTTGAAGACTAATTAAATAAACAAACATATCATACAAAGTAAAAAAAAATATTTTATTAAAAAAAAATTTACATAAATGAATTTAGGTTAATTCAAATGCATTGAACAACTATAATTGTCATGTATAAAAATAATTATGAAACATGATTGGATAATTAACATCTACTTTAATAGTATAAAGACAATCAAAAAGAAAAAATAAAAAATAAAAAATACAATGAATGTAAACAATATTTAAATATTTTATGTGATAATATCAATCCCTAAATCGTAAGATATGAGAGACATGAATAAATTATTTTTATTTTATTTTATTTTATTTTAAAAGTAGTATATTAGTGTATCAAATCTAATTATCAATATGATTCAATTTTTAAAATTCATTTCATGTAAACAATGTGATTTAATTTTTTTAAAATTGGTTATGATGTTTTTAAGAGAGTGTGATTTAGTTTCAAATTTAAAGTAAGTTCATTTCTTATTTTTTTGCACATTCCTATTATTTGATGGGGCTATTTAATAGGAAATTGAAGAGAGGAGAATGAATTATAATAGATTTAAATAAAACACGTGTTTGAAGATGGGGATTTGCTAGAAATGTAAACGGCTTCAATTTCTACCTCCTCGTACGTGGAGATTTTGGCAAAAATACGAGACTCACAACTTGAATAACAAAAGTAACCATATATTTATATACATGACTCTCTATGCTTTGTGAGTTCAAACTCGCATGACAAACTATATTGCCATATTCAACTATGAATATGTCATAATCCACTATGGATACTAATAAGTTACGCTTGAATCGGAAAAAACTTCAGCCAGAGGTCAAGAGGTGTAACATTATACTGCACAATAAGAACATGTGTTTCTTTCACGAATATTTTATTAAAAAAATAAGGAAAAAAATAAAAGTTACAATGTAGGAAGATAAATTAAGAGGTGCAAAAATCACGAGACATTATATTACTCTCCACATCCTAAAAAACATCTCATTTTGATTTTCATTTTACAAGATATATTAAATATTTTTCTTCTATTACATCTTTAAACAAAATATATATATATATATATATGGTATTAAATATATAACTTAAATATATTTTAAGATAAATTTATTTTTATTTCTCAAATTTAAAATTATTTGTAATTCTTTTAATTTTTAAGAATTTTATTTTAATTTCTCAAATTATCAATAATAAAAATAATAGATTAAGATAGTTATATATAAGCCTAATCACGGGTCGAGTCTAATTGGGTTTGGGTTGAAAATGTTGGGTCTAACCCAAACTAAGTAAGAAAAAAATGGACTCATTTTGGACCGCATTAGTACTTGAAATTGTTTGGGTTGGGTCAGTCGAATTTCGGGTTATATGAGTGGATATAATCGGGTATGGGGAGAAAGTCGTCACGGAAGCGATTTCCGGGAACTGTGCTTGCTTTATCATCAATTTCATTTCCTTCTATTTTTCTCTTCTTTTATTTCTCTTCCCTTCCCGTCGGCTACTTCAACTTGAACCACAGTTCGTCAATAAGAGACGGATATTTACTACGTGTGTTCCAATACCCACGCTTAAGGAAATTTAAACCCAAAAATCCAATTATCCAAATCAATTCGTTCGTTAAGAATATTTGATTGTAGGTTACATCAGGCTGGCTCGAATTTTTTTATTGTAATATTTTTACTAATAAAATTAACAAAAATACTAATAAATAAATTTTATATGATAATATTTAACAAAATTTTAATATAAAAATTAACATAATTTTTTTTCAAATTATAAATATTAAAAAAAACTAACATTTAATTTGAACGGTTAAAAATAAATTTAAACCTAAATATATTAATTTCTTTAAACAGAAATATAGCGTTATATTTTCACACTGAAACCTCTAGAACTCGCGGCTTATCACTCGACAGCCCAATAAACAAACAGAACAAACCCTTCGGAAACGCAAGATTCAGTTCCATAAACGATTCACGTGCAGAAGTTAAAAGCAAGACATTACTCGTAATAGTAGGGCAAGTCGCGGATCCAAAAATTTTAGATAGTACGAACAATATTTATTTATATATTAATAATATTAAAAATTTTACATATAAATTTTAAAAGTATAAATATATATTATAATTATTTTTTACAAGTTTTTATAATTATGAT